GAACTGGGAGGGTAGAGGGAGAGGAGAGAGCGGTGGGGTCAGGTGAGGTGAGCATGATGAAGAGAGCTGGAGAGAGATAGAGAACACGAGGGAGAGAGAAACATGAGGGAGAGTCCAACAGAGCTGGCGAGAGAGATGGAAAGAGAGAACAGCAGTTATGAGCTACCCGTCGGAGGCCGTTGGACTGCGAGAAGGGCTGCGTGCAGAACGAGAGAGTGAGCGAGAGGGCGAGCGGGAGGGCGAGCGGGAGGGCGAGCGGGAGGGCGAGCGGGAGGGCGAGCGGGAGGGCGAGCGGGAGGGCGAGCGGGAGGGCGAGCGGGAGGGCGAGCGGGAGGGCGAGCGGGAGGGCGAGCGGGAGGGCGAGCGGGAGGGCGAGCGGGAGGGCGAGCGGGAGGGCGAGCGGGAGGGCGAGCGGGAGGGCGAGCGGGAGGGCGAGCGGGAGGGCGAGCGGGAGGGCGAGCGGGAGGGCGAGCGGGAGAGCGAGCGGGAGAGCGAGAGGGTGAGCGAGAGGGTGAGCGAGAGGGTGAGCGAGAGGGTGAGCGAGAGGGTGAGCGAGAGGGTGAGCGAGAGGGTGAGCGAGAGGGTGAGCGAGGGAGTGAGCGAGAGAGTGAGCGGGAGAGTGAGCGAGAGGTGGGGGTTTACATAAAGCAAAGTTATTAAAAAGAATTAAAAAACAAATTACGAAATGATGAACGAAGCAAAGTGCCGACTACACCGACCATCTTCTTGTTTCCACTGATCGTAAAAAAAAGAGAATAAGTTAGAGATCTAGAGAGAGAGAGCTATAGAGATGGAGCTATGGAGAGAGTTAGAGAGCTAGAGAGAGAGCTACAGAGAGAGTTAGAGAGCTATAGAGAGAGAGCTATGGAGAGAGAGAGAGCTAGAGAGAGAGCTCCAGAGAGAGTTAGAGAGCTAGAGAGAGAGAAAGCTGTATAAATCACTGTTGCTTTGAGAAGCGATTTTCAGAGACATGTCCGAGCGCGGGGGGGGGGGGTAGGAAATAATAAAAAGGAAAAACGCGGAACACGGCATCGCAAAATTTATAACGCGGAGCGGAGCGCGGAACGCGGAGCGAGGATGAGGGGGGCAAGAGAGATGAATCTTAGCTGTCACCTCCAGACGGAACGACAGAGACAAAGATCCCCCGTGTAGCCTGTAATAGACTGCCGGGGCAAGTGCTGTTAGCGAGTGGCAGCGCATATGAAGGCCGGCACGGTGGCACACGAGGGGGTGGGTGGCCAGCGCCACGCCCGGCCGCCTTTGTCTCCCCAGTGGCGATGTTTACTGCGCACCGCAGCAGGTACTCGTTTGAGGCTAGTGGAGGCCCAGGACCGGTTCATTGGTGGTGCTGGTGGTGGCCGTGAGCGGGAATTGAACTCGGGTCTCCGGGTTCGAAGCACAGCGCGGAAACCGCTGCGCTACCAAAGTCGGTTTGAGGCGATATGGGGAACGCACAGAGACCCACAGACTCACACAGAGACCCACAGATTCACACAGAGACCCCCACAGACTCACACAGAGACCCACAGGCTCACACATAGACCCACAGACTCACACATAGACCCACAGACTCACACATAGACCCACACACTCACACAGAGACCACACAGACTCACACAGAGACCCACAGACTCACACAGAGACCCACACACTCACACAGAGACACACAGATTCACACAGAGACCCACAGACTCACACAGAGACACAGATTCACACAGAGACCCACAGACTCACACATAGACCCACAGACTCACACAGAGACCCACAGACTCACACAGAGACCCACACACTCACACAGAGACACACAGATTCACACAGAGACCCACAGACTCACACAGAGACACAGATTCACACAGAGACCCACAGACTCACACAGAGACCCACAGACTCACACATAGACCCACAGACTCACACAGAGACCCACAGACTCACACAAAGATCCACAGACTCGCATAGAGACCCACAGAGTCACACTGAGACCCACATACTCACATAGAGACCTCACAGAGACTCACATAGAGACACACAGACTCACACAGAGACCCACACACTCACACAGAGACACAGATTCACACAGAGACCCACAGACTCGCACAGAGACCCCCACAGACTCACACAGCGACCCATATCCGTGATTTACACAGAAATCAATCGACTTAACCCCAGACACCCCGAGACTTGCACAGACGGATGGACCCACGGGTGCGGCATCTTCCCCCGTGGCGCAGAGGTCGCAAACGGGTTTTGATTCCTTACCCGTAGCCGTACTCGGCCGCACCAGGGTCACAAACGGCTACCCGTACCCATACCCGTACCCGGCCGGGTACGGGTAGCCGGGTATCGGGTAGGGTACGGGTATCGGGTAGGGTACGGGTATCGGGTAGGGTGCGGGTATCGGGTAGGGTGCGGGTATCGGGTAGGTTACCGGTATCGGGTAGGGTGCGGGTATCGGGTAGGGTGCGGGTATCGGGTAGGGTACGGGTATCGGGTAGGGTGCGGGTATCGGGTAGGGTGCGGGTATCGGGTAGGGTACGGGTATCGGGTAGGGTACGGGTATCGGGTAGGGTGCGGGTATCGGGTAGGGTGCGGGTATCGGGTAGGGTACGGGTATCGGGTAGGGTGCGGGTATCGGGTAGGGTGCGGGTATCGGGTAGGTTACCGGTATCGGGTAGGGTGCGGGTATCGGGTAGGGTGCGGGTATCGGGTAGGGTACGGGTATCGGGTAGGGTGCGGGTATCGGGTAGGGTGCGGGTATCGGGTAGGGTGCGGGTATCGGGTAGGGTACGGGTATCGGGTAGGGTGCGGGTATCGGGTAGGGTACGGGTATCGGGTAGGGTACGGGTATCGGGTAGGGTACGGGTATCGGGTAGGGTACGGGTATCGGGGGGTACCCGGTTGCGACCTCTGCCGTGGTGTCACGGCAGCAGCCGATGACCTGGGTCTCCCCAAGCGGAGGCGGTTGTGAGCCCCATTGCCCAGGTAGGCCTCGGCAAGGTAAGGTAATTTACCCTTTTTGCCGAGGCCTATGCCCAGGCACGGGACAATTCCTTCGCTCCCTCCACAACTGCCCCATCACTATCATGAGGGGAGGGGAGTGGAGGATGGTGGGGGGTGGAGGGTGCTTTGGTGACACAAAATGCCCAGGCAGATGCAAGCCTCTATTCAGATGCTCTCTGACGAGAGGCTTGCGGAGACCCGGTGTGGTTTCAGGCCGGGCTGATCCTGCACGGACGCCGCGTCCTCCTTAGGGGATACTAACGGGACTCTGTGCATCTCTGATTTAGGCAGCACGCTGAGGAGAGGCTTGCGGAGCCCCAATGCGGTTTCAGGAAAGGGCGGTCCTGCACGGATGCCATAATCTGTCCCTCTGCTACAGCAGAGGCGTATGGAATTCCAACAAGACCTACATCTCTGCTTTCTTGACCTGGTCAAGGCCTATGATACCAGCAATATGCCTGGGCTCTGGATAGTTAAAAGTAAACTAAAAGCTGAGCGATTTTTGTTCTATTTTACCAGGTGAGGCCCATTTGAGCGATGCAGTTCTTTTTTCCAAAGCTACCTGGCCAAAATTGATAGCTTAACGAAGTACGGCTTATCATCATAATCATCAACACGGGGATATTCGTAGCAGCCAAATAATGTAAACGTGTGATGTTGTTTCTAAATGTGGAGGGGAAAAAATGGAGAACCCGAGAGAAAAAATCCACGCAAACCACGGGGGAGAGAGAGAGAGACGCAAACTCCAAATATACAGCAGCAGGCATCGTCAGGGTCGGGATCGAACCCACGACCTCCTGTAGACCAGGCGAGGTAGTTAACATCTCATAGCCACCGTGATGATGATGATGATGAGAGAGACACGCAAACTCCAAATATACAGCAGTAGGCATCTTCAGGATCGGGATCGAACCCACGACCTCCTGTAGACCAGGCGAGGTAGTTAACATCTCATAGCCACCGTGATGATGATGATGAGAGAGACACGCAAACTCCAAATATACAGCAGCAGATGTCAGAGCTGGGATCGAACCCACGCCCTCCTCCGTACCAGGCGAGGTGGTCAAAATCTCATAGCCACCGTGATGATGATGAGAGAGAGACACGCAAACTCCAAATATACAGCAGCAGATGTCAGAGCTGGGATCGAACCCACGCCCTCCTCCGTACCAGGCGAGGTAGTTAACATCTCATAGCCACCGTGATGATGATGAGAGAGAGACACGCAAACTCCACATATACAGCAATAGGCATCGTCAGGGTCGGTATCGAACCCACGACCTCCTGTAGACCAGGCGAGGTAGTTAACATCTCA